ACAGTGGAATGTATTACAATTCTTATTACACATATACAACACAATTTTTCATATCTCTGGTAGTATATAAAGTATGTTGACACCAATTCGTGTCTTTGATACATGTACTTTGGATAATGATGTCATCACATTCTTGTTGCCTATATTCTTGATGATTACCTTTCTGACAGGAGTGAGATGAAATCTTAGTTTTGATTTGCATTTCTCTAATTGCTAGAGATGTTTAACACTTTTTCATAGATTTGTGGATCAGTTGTTTTTCTTCTGTGAAGTGTCTTCATTTCCTTAACCCATTTATTTATTGAGTTATTTGGTTTATTTATTTATTTATTTTATTTCTTTATCCTAGTGATCTGTGAAGTGTCCATTTCCTTAGCCCATTTATTTATTGGGTTATTTGTTATTTTGGTGTTAATTTTTTTGATTTCTTTATCCTAGTAATTAATGCTTTATTGGAGCTGCATATGGTAAAGATTTTCTCCCAATCTGTAGGGTCTCTCCTCACTTTATTAATTGTTTCCTTTGCTGAGAAGAAGCTTTTTAATTTGAATCCATCCTATTTATTAATTCTTGATTTTACTTCTTGTACTTTAGTAGGAGTCTTATTAAGGAAGTCAGATCCTAGGCCCATGTGGTGAAGATTTGGGCCTATTTTTTCTTCTGTTAGGCACAGGGTCTCTGTTCTGTGCTTTGATCCTCTTTGAGTTGATTTCTATACAGGGTGAGAGATAAAGGTTTAATTTTATTTGCTACGTATGGATTTCCAGTTCTGCCAGCACCATTTGTTGAATATGCTATCTTTTTTTCTACTGAATGTTTTTGGCGCCCTTGTCTAGTATGAGATAACCGTATTTATGTGGGTGTATCTCTGTGTCCTCTATTCTGTACCAGTGGTCTACAAGTCTATTTTGGTGCCAAAACCATGCAGTTTTTGTTACTATTGCTCTATAATACAGTTTAAGGTCTGGTATTGTGATGCCTCCTGCTTCACTTTTCTTCTAAGGATTACTTTAGCTATTCTGGATCTCTTACTTTTCCAGATAAATTTCATGATTGCTTTTTCTACTTCTATGAAGAATGCCATTGGGATTTTAATAGGAATTACATTAAATCTGTATTATGCTTTTGGTAGTTTGGCCATTTTTGACAATATTAAGTCTGCCTATCCAGGAACATGGGAGCTCTTGCCAACTTCTGAGGTTTTCTTCAATTTCTTTCTTTAGTGTTCTGTAGTTTTCATTGTAGAGGTCTTTCACCTCTTTTGTTAGATTGATTCCCAGGTTTTTTTTTTTTTCTTTTTTTTGAGGCTATTGTGAATGGAGTAGTTTTCCTAATTTCTCTTTCAGTGGATTCATTGCTGATGATAGGAATGCGTTTGATTTATGGGTGTTGATTTTACATCCTGCTACTTTGTTGAATTCGTTTATTAGTTCTAGGAGTTTTCTGGTGGAATTTTTTGGATGTTCTAGATACAGAATCATGTCATTAGCAAATAGTGATAGTTTGAGTTCTACTTTACCTATTTGTATTCCTTTAATTTCTTTTTTTTGTCTAATTACTCTGGCTAGAGTTCAAGGATGATGTTGAATAGAAGTGTGAAAGAGAACATCCTTGTCTTATTCCAGTTTTTAGAGGGAATACTTTCAGTTTTTCTCCATTTAGAATGATGCTGGCCTTGGGTTTAGCATATATAGCTTTTTCAATGTTGAGTATGTTCCTACTATCCCTAATTTTTCTAGTGTTTTGAACATGAAGGTATGCTGTATTTTGTCAAATGCTTTTTCTACATCTGTTGAGATGATCATATGATTCTTGTTTTTAAATCTATTAATATGATGAATTATGTTTATTGATTTCTGTACGTTTAACCAATCCTCTATCCCTGGGATGAACCCCACTTGATCATAGTGCACTATCTTTTTAATACGTTTTTGTATGCGATTTGCCAGAATTTTATTGAGAATTTTTGCATCTATGGTCATCAGGGATATTGTTCTGAAGTTTTCTTTCCTTTATGTGTCTTTGTCTGATTTCAGTATCAGGGTGATATTAGCCTCATAGAATGAGTTTGGAAGGGTTCCTTCCTTTTCTGTTTCATGGAATACTTTGAGGAATATTAGTGTAAATTCTTCTTGTAGAACTTGGCTGAGAATTCATCTGGTCCTGGACTTTTCTTGGTTAGTGGTAGGCTTTTGGTGGCATTTTCTACTTCATAACTTGAAATTGATCTGTTTAAATCATGTGTGATTTCCTCAATCAGTTTGGGTAAGTCATATGTCTCTAGAAATTTGTTGATATGTTCGATATTTTTTATTTTATTAGAGTATAAATTTTCAAAATATTTTCTAATTATCTTCTGTGTTTCAGACGTATCTGTTGTGATATTTCCTTCTTCATCTCGTATTTTAGCAATTTGAGGTTTTTTTTCTCTTTGATAGCATGGTAGGGGTTTATCTATTTTATTTATTTTTTCAAAGAACCAACTTTTTGTTTTGTCAATTTTTTCAATTGTTTATTTTGTTTCAATTTCATTGATTTCAGCTCTGATTTTAATTATTTCCTGTCTTCTACTGCTTTTGGTGTTGATTTGTTCTTTTTCTAGGGCTTTGAGGTGTAGTGTTAGGTCATTTATTTGTTGAATTTTTATTCTTTTACTGAATGCATTCAATGTAGTAAACTTTCCTTTTAGTACTGCCTTCAAAGTGTCCCAGAGATTCTGATATGTTGTATCAGTGTTCTCATTTACCTTTAAGAATTTTTTTATTTCATCCTTGATTTCTTCTACTACACATTCATTCAATCGTGTATTACTTAGTCTCCATTTGTTACAGTAGCTTCTATTTTTTATTTTATCATTGATTTCTAATTTCATTCCATTGTGGTCTGATAGAATGCAGGATATTATCTCTGGTTTTTTTTTTCCTGTGTGTATTTACTTATGCTTTGTGGCATAAGATATGGTCTATTTAGAAAAGGAGCCATGTGCTGCTGAGAAGAAAGTATATTTGCTCGTTGATGGATGAAATATTGTATAAATGTCTGTTAAGTCTAAATTACTAATTGTATTATTTAGTTCTATAGTTTCCTTATTTAGTTTTTTTATCTCTTTTTTTAAATTTTTTTTAATTGGTTGTTCACAACATTACAAAGCTCTTGACATATCATATTTCATACATTAGATTGAAGTGGGTTATGAACCCCAATTTTTACCCCAAATGCAGATTGCAGAATCACGTCGGTTACACATCCACAATTTTACATAATGCCCTATTAGTAACTGTTGTATTCTGCTACCTTTCCTATCCCCTACTATCCCCCTCCCCTTCCCTCACATCTTCTCTCTCTACCCCATCTACTGTAATGCAATTCTCTCCCCTCACAACCTCTTATATGTAATTTAGTATAGCAATGAGGGTCTCCCTTCATTTCCATGCAATTTCCCTTTTCTCTCCCTTTCCCTCCCATCTCATGTCTCTGTTTAATGTTAATCTTTTCTTCCTGCTCTTCCTCCCTGCTCTGTTCATAGTTGCTCTCATTATATCAAAGAAGACATTTGGCATTTGTTTTTTAGGGATTGGCTAGCTTCACTAAGCATAATCTGCTTATTTAGTTTTTGTTTGGAAGATCTGTGCAGTAGTGAGAGAGGTGTGTTAAAATCATCGGTATTATTATATTGTGTTTGATTCTTGAAATTGAGAAGGGTTTGTTTGATATACATAGTGCTCCATTGTTTGGAGCATACATATTCATAATTGTTATGTTCTGCTTATATATACTTCCCTTAAGAAGTATGGAATGTCCTTCTTTGTCTCTTCTGATTAACTTTGGTTTGAAGTCTACTTTATCTGAGATGAGAATGGAAACCCCTGCTTGTTTACATAATCCATATAAGTGATAAGTTTTTTCCCATCCTTTCACCTTCAGCCTGTGGACGTCTTTGCCCATAAGGTGAGTCTCTTGAAGACAGCATATTGTTGGTTTTTGCTTTTTAATCCAATCTGCCAGTCTGTGAGTTTTGATTGGTGAGTTGAGGCTGTTAAAATTCAAGGTTATTATTGAGATATGATTTGTATTCCCTGTCATTTTGATTTATTTCTGGTTTTTGATTTGTCTTAATTTCTCATTTGAATGTTCCTTAGATCTTCCCTTTTCTGGTTTTATTTATTTTTTTTCCACTTCATCCTCATGGAATATTTTGCTGAGAATTATCTGTAGTTTAGACTTTCTAGTTGTGAATTCTTTTAATTAAATTATGTTTTAATGTCAAATCTCTATAAGCTAGGGTGACCAGTCATTCTAGTTTGCTTTGAATTGGGGGCTTTGATGGGAAGTGTGAATTCCAGTGCTGAAACCAGACAAATCAAGATGTGTTGTCATCCTACATTGTTTGTTGTGAATATTAAAGGAGATAATATATGAGAAAGCACATAACATTACTTCTTCGCACATAGTAACTGCTCCTTAAATTTTAGTAGAATTTTTGTAAAATATTTAGATTTAAATTTTAATTGAGCAGATTCACACTGATATTTGAGAAGTTATAAAGACGAATTTGGCCAACTACTTTATGTCTTCATAAGTTGACATCTTGGGTCTCTGAACAGCTTTTACTCTTAGGCCTTAGGCATTGGTGTTTTTCTATCTGAGTTTCCTAGTCTGTAAAATGAGAATAGTAATATTTATCTCATAGGGTTATTGTAAGGATTCAGTAAGGTGTGATTAGCAAATTAAACATGGCAGCATACCAGGCTCATACCATATTCTTAGTACATGCTAACTATTAGAATAATAAAGTTAAACATTTCATATAGATAACATTTGGAATTAGTAATATAACAGTGGGAAAAGTTAGGATGATAGTTGTTGATTGAGCTTTTGGCTTCTTTAGCTTTTTTCCATTCTTTTCTTAAAAGCTTCCTTATTCTAGAATGCCCTGGGAAGAGCAGTGTATATATACACCGTCACAGCTGAAAATGTGTTGTTTTCAAATTTTATTTCAGATAGTGAGGAATACCTGATTAATCTCATAGACTCTCCAGGACACGTGGATTTCTCCTCAGAAGTATCAACGGCTGTTCGTATTTGTGATGGATGCATCATAGTGGTAGATGCTGTGGAAGGGGTCTGTCCACAGGTAATGGTGTGATACAAAAGTATTTAACGGATTGAAGAAGGCGAGGAAGAGGAGAAACTGTTGATTACTATGTATCACTTTAAGAGGAGAAACTGTTGATTACTATGTATCACATTAGGCATTTCACTAACAATGAGAAAGCTGGCTTTATATTTCACTTTGGTAATGTTCCAGTTTCTGATGGAGTTAAATCATCAGAGCTGAAAGGAACTTAGAAATGGTGGCAATACTTTGGATGGAAGTGTCTGTGATAATCCTCTTAGGGTGGTACTTAGAAAAATGAGAGAAATGTTGGATTTGGGAATAATCTAGATGTTTTACTCCAATGAATGAGGTTTTCTGAATCATGAGAGGTTGTTGCTAGCACAATACTAAACAAGTTTTCCCTAAGTAGGAGAGAAATTCTATTGTTTTCTCATCCTACTTTTTGGCCTACATCCACATCCACACACTATAGCCATACACATTCCTTTCCTGTTTCCTGCTCTTATTCTTCCATGTCCTAAATCTAGATGCTGTGGAAGGGGTCTGTTCACAGGTAATGGTGTGATACAAAAGTTTCCATTTATCTGTTCCCACCAAAGTTCACCCCTAAGGCCAGAGTGAACATACAGCTCTGGTGAGGATAGAGCTCAGCGTGGCTCTCTAATTTCTTTCAGTAATTTTTGAAGGCTTATATTTGCTCTCTAAGAAAATAAAGATGTCACCTTCATATTCTACTCCTTAATATGCACATTTGCTTTCATGTTTCTAAAAAAGAATAATAAAAGATTTAATTTCCTCAAATGTAGGAATTTTTTTTAATTTAATATTTATTTTTTAGTTGTAACTGGACACAATTCCTTTATTTTACTTATTTATTTTTATATGGTGCTGAGGATCAAACCCAGCGTTCTGCACAACCCAGGCGAGCACTCTACAGCTGAGCCATAACCCCAGTCCAAATGTAGGAAATTTTAAAAATTATTTATTTTTAAGTGGTGCTGAGGATTGAACCCAGTGCCTCACATGTGCTAGATACGTGCTATACCACTGAGCTGTAACCCCAGCCCCTAAATGTAGGAAATTTGATATTAGAAGAAGATGTATTATGATTATCTTTTGGCATCTCCTCTGATTTCCCCTATAGGTACAGGTATCCCAACTCAAGAGGGCTGTCTATGTAGTGTCTTAGGTATCCTCACAGGATACCTAAGCCATTGATGAGGTCAACTTGAGTGTATTTGCTGAAATGGACATAGCTGGCTTTAGAACAGCAGAATGGTGATTGCCTCTAAGAGGTGAGATCATGATGAAGGAGGTGAACATGTAGCTCTTGGCCAAATGTTTTATTTTTTTACCTACATGCTAGTATCATTGGTGTTTGATAATTATTCATTTAACCATGAAAAAGAGAGAGTATTTGTGAAAACACATATTTCTACTAAACCTTTTTGCTCTCTATCCAATTTTATTTTTTTCCCTTAAATAAACTATAAGGCCCTCTTATCTGCAGTTATTTGTTGCTGTGCTAAATATATATTTTATGAAAACCTGAATACCTTTGTCTGACTGGCATAGTCTGAGTTGTGGTAAAGGACTGTGGGAATGTATTGGTTATTAATTAACATTTTTCTGGTGTGCTTAAATTATTTCAAATCCTAAGTTTTACATTTTTCTGTGCTTTTATCAGACACAGGCAGTTTTGCGGCAAGCCTGGCTCGAAAACATCCGTCCAGTTTTGGTGATTAATAAGATAGATCGGTTGATAGTGGAGCTAAAATTTACCCCACAGGAGGCCTATTCTCACCTCAAGAATATTTTAGAACAGGTATTGTGTTCTTCAGTATTTTAAAATTGGGACTTGAAGAGTTATTAGGAAGAGTATGAGGAGTTGCTATAGAAAATTCACTTATTTGAAGTTCTCTGCCTAAGGTTCTGTCTGTTAGAGTTATTACACCATGACAGAGGCAGCAGAACTAGTCTCAGGAGTCCCTTTAATCTCCAGGAAGCACTTTCAGTATAAGGCTTGAACAATGAACTTTCTTGGTTAAAATTTGTAGTTTAATTCTTAAGTGAAACAGTATTAGGAGGCTCTATCATATTGTATTACCTGTCTTTAGATAATATTTTATCCAAGCATTTATTCATTTGTTTATTCAGCAAACAGGTACATAAATGTTCAATCAAATGAACTGTTAAATGTCCATTGTGTGCTAAGGATTGTGAATAGAAAGATGGAAGTCAGAGCCCCTGTGTTCACAGAGCTAACAGTATAGTAGGGGAGATAAACAGTTGAAGAGCTATTTGGAGAACTACGAGATACATGATTTGAAAGCGTAGTTGAGGGCCACTTAACCTAGTCTGAGGGAGGAGGTAGAAGTCTCACAATGGAAGCCTTGAGATATAAGAAAGGTGAGTGTTTGATAGAATATTAGAGAAGGACATTTCAAAAGAGAAGGAATAAGATGTACAAAGTTATAAAGGCAAGTAAAAGCATGGTATGGTGTTACCTTTGAGAAGATAATTGTAGTTAAACAATTATTGAACGCGGTTTCTACATTTTCTCTATCTCCCAAGAGATGGGAGAAAGGAATATAAGACTTGAATTTTGGGGAGCCTTGTATTACATGAATAGAAGTTTGAAATTCTTCAAGACAATGAAAAGCCATTGATGAAGTCAACTTGAGTGTATTTGTTTGTTGAAGGGTGGAAATTACAAAGGTATAACAGTGCAAAACAATGATTGATAGATCTAGTTTCCCCCATTAAGATAGGTGGAAATGTAGAAATGTTCCTTTTCTTCAGAAATACTCTCTGTAGAAATATTCCTTCTTCAGTGAGTGGCAGAAGGGCCAGCAGTATTTTCAGATGAAAGCAGTCTTATAGGTTGGAATGTGGGGGACTTGTACAAATTGTTAAGTAATAGGAATGATTTTTCTCTCTGAATTAGCTAATAAGATTACTTATTTGGAAGTGGAAATAGTTGGGTATTAGAGGTTGGGAAGAGGACCTGAGGAGTAGTAGAAATTTCAAGCAGCTGATGTGAGAAATGGATGAGAAAAGTGACTGAGGCTACCTAACTAGGATTATGGGGTTTGGAAACTGTGATTCCTAGTACTACCAGGCCCCAGCACTTAAATAAAGGTATGACACATTAGCCTTTACATTAAAATAATAATGGTAATCCAAAAAGACCTTTCAAAAGCCTTATAATATAGTTTTGCTGGATTTTGATAAAATGGGTTAATACATATAAGTCATTCATTGATCGTAAATGTCACTTCCATTGAGTCCCAACTGTGATGATTATTTTAGCCCTAACAGAGGTTAGACAATTCCTACCAAGATCATGCTAAGCATCTGAATGACACTCTACCATTTCACCATCTCTCCTAGATTAATGCACTCACAGGAACTCTTTTTACTTCTAAAGTCCTAGAAGAAAGAGCAGAGAGAGACACTGAATCCCAAGTGAATCCAAATTCTGAACAAGGAGAGCAAGTGTATGACTGGAGTACTGGCTTGGAAGACACGGATGATTCTCACCTTTACTTCTCTCCAGAACAGGGAAATGTGGTGTTTACCAGTGCAATAGATGGGTGGGGCTTTGGGTAAGTCTTTTTAAGTCTAATTACAGTTCGTTGTGGTTTTACATATAGTTGATCTTTTAGTTTAAATTTTTATTTTAAGATAATTGTAGCTTCATAGAGTCATAAGAAGTAATATGGAGAGTTCTCTCTCTCTTTTTGTACCAGGAATTGAACTCAGGGCCATTTAACAATTGATCCACATCTCCAGCCCTTTTTTGTATTTTATTTGGAGACAAGGTCTCACTGAGTTGCTTAAGGCCTTGCTAAGTTGCTGAGGCTGGCTTTGAACTTGTGATCCTCCTGCCTCAGCCTTTTCGCTGCTGGGATTACAGACATGTGCCACTGCACCCTGCTGGAGAATTTTCTTATACCCTTTATTTAGTACATACTTCATGGTAACATCTTGCAAAACTATATGGCACGGCCACAACCAGGACACTGAATGGACACAGTCAAAATAAAGAAGATTTTCATCATTACAAGTATTCTGTGTATTACCCTTTATAGCCACACCTGTTTCCTGCCTACCCCTAAGCCTCCTTAGGGGTATTCACCTGTTCTCTGTTTTTATAATTTGTCATCTCAAAAAATAAATTACAGAAATGAAATCAAAACAATATATTATAGAAATGGGGGCTGACGTTGTAGCTCAGTGGTAAAGCGCTTGCCTAGCACATGTGAGGCACTGGGTTTGATCTTCAGCACCACATCAAAATAAGTAAAAATAAAAGTATTGTATCCATTTACAACTAAAACATATATTTAAAAAAAAATCTATTATAGAAATGGAACCAAACTATATAATCTTTTCTGGATTGACTTTTTTCCTGTATAATTCTCTTTGAAATTTATCCAAGTTGTTGCATGTTTCCCTTATCCAAAATGCTTGGATCCAGGAGTATTTCAGATTAAGGATTTTTTTGTTGTTATTGTTTGGTTTTGGAATGTTTGCATATACATAATGAGATATCTTGGGGATCAGATCCAAACAAGAAATTCATTTGTTTCCTATAAACCTGACCTTGTACAGTCTGAAGGCAATTGTATATAATAATTTTAGCGTTCCTGTTTTCACTGTGACCTATCACATGAGATCAAGTGTGGAGTTTTCCATTCATTGTGTTGTATCAGCACTTTGAAATTTTGAATTTTGGTGCATTTCATATGGAAGCTATAAAGGTGGTTCTTTTTTATTGTTAGTAGTGTTTTATGGTATGGATTTACTATAGATTTACTATGGATTTACTATAAAAAAATATATATATTTTTAATCATTTATCTTTTAAACAACATCTTTTCTCCAGTTTTTGGCTATTACAAATAAAGCTGCTATTAACATTCACATACAGATTTTTGTGTGAACAATAAATTTTTATTTCTCTGAGATAATTGCTCAGGAGTGCAAATGCTGAGTTCCATGGTAGTTTTTTTTAACATTTTTTGGTTGTAGGTGGACACAATACCTTTATTTTATTTTTATGTGGTAATGAGGGTCAAACCCAGTGCCTCACACGTGCTGGGCAAGCACTTTACCACTGAGCCACAACCCCAGCCCTATATGGAAGTTTTATGTTTAGTGTTTTTTTTGTTTGTTTAAATATTTTTTTAGCTGTTGATAGGCCTTTGTTTTATTTATTTACATGTGGTGCCAAGAATCAAACCCAGTGCCTCACACATGCCAGGCAATGTGTACTACAGCTGAGCCATAGCCCCAGCCCCTTATGTTTAGGTTTTTAAAGAAACTGCCAAGCTTTTCCAGAGGACTGCAGCATTTTATATTCCTGTCAACAATGCATGGGTAATCTAATTTATCCATGTTTTCACCATCATTTTAGTATTTTTATTCTCTTTATTTTGGCCATTCTAATGATTGTGTACTGAAAAGTTATTGTGGTTTTCATTTGCGTTTTCCTAATAGCTGGTAATGTTGAAATCTTTTCCAGTGCTAATTTGTTATCTTGTATTTTCTTTTGAATGAAATGAGTCTTTATATCTTTTGCACAGTTTCTAATTGTATTAATCTGTTTTTTTTTAACTTTTGAGTTTTGCACATTCTTTATGTGTTCTAGATACTAGTCCTTTGTCTGATATATGCTTTATAAATATTTTCTCCCAGTCTGAGTCAATCCTCTTAACAGTGTCTTTCACACAGTGTAAGGTTTTTTAATTTGGGTGAAGTCTAGTTTGTCAGTTTTTCTTTTTATGGGTCTTGGTTTTATAGTCAAGTTTGTCTAGCTCTAGATCTTGAAGGTATTCTTTCATTTTCAAAAACAGTTTTATAGTTTTACTGTTTATATTTAAATCTATGGTCCATTTTGAGTTAAGATTATATGAAGTGTGATACTTGGGTTGAGATTATTTTCTTTGCCTGTGAATGGCCAATTTGTCTACCACCATTGTTGAAAAGGCTATCTCTATTTCATTGGATTGGTTTTATACATTTGTCAGAGCCAGTTGGGCATATTTATGTGGGTTTATTTATGTGTGTTTTGTTCTGTTCCATTAATTTGTGTGTCTCTCTTTTTAACACTAGTACATAGTCTTAAATATAGAAATTGTGCCTTAAGTCTTGAAATTGGGGAGATTATTTTGCACACATTTTTCTTTAGCTGTTCACTGATCTTTGCCTTTCCATACAAATTTTGTAATAATATTTATAATAATTGCATATATCTTGTGAGGATTTTAATAGTTTGTGTGGTAAACTATATATTAATTTGGGAAGACTTAAAATCTTTGCTCTGTTGGGTCTTCTAATCCATGAACACTATGTATCTCCATTTATTTCTATTTTCCTTGATATCATAACATTTTGTGGATTTTAGCACATAAATCTTGTACTTGTTGTGTTAGAATTACATCCGATTTTTAATTTTCTGAGCAATTATCAATGGTCTTTAATTTTGATGTCCACATGTTTATTCCGAATGTGTAGAAATAGAATTGATTTTGTGTGTTCTAATAACAAAATATGCTGTGACCTTGCTGAACTCACTTATTCTGGAATTTTTTTGTATACTCTTTTGAATTTCCTAAGACAGTCATTTCATCTGCAAATAGGGACTGTTTTACTTCATCCTTTTCTTTCTGAATGTTCTTGTCTAATTGCACTGATGGTGGTAAGGGTGGGCCTCTCTTCTTTCCAGTTGTAGACGAAACCATGGTGACTTTTACTCTTAGGAATAATCTTAGCTGTGGGCTGTGTTTAGATGTTCTTTGTTAAGTTGAGGAAGCCTTCCAACCAATGTTACTATTTTTTTCTGAGAGTCAATATAAATGAATGTCAAATTTTGTCATGTCTTTCCTGCATTGATTAATGTAGTCATATGATTTTTTATCTTAAGCTTATTAATATAGCAGATTACATTCATTAATTGTGGAATATTGAACCCAGACTTGCTTCTTTTTGTAGATTTTATATATAATTGCTATGTTTTGGTGGGTGTCCTGGGGTTGAACCCAGGGACACTTAGCCACTGAGCCACATCCCCAGCCCTTTTTATTTTTTATTTTGAGAGAGGATCTTGCTAAGTTGCTTAGGGTTTCACTGAGTTGCTGAAGCTGGTCTTGTACTTACAATACTCCTGCTTTAGCCTCCTGAACTGCTGGGATTACAGGCATGCACCACCAGGAGTAGTTTATATGATTGACTTTTAAAAAGCCTTATTTGAATGAATTCTAAATGCACAAAAATGTATATCATAAAACAAAAATGTATATCATAAGATCTCCCACCTTATCTCTTAGTTCATGTCATTTTCTAGTAGTTTCTTTTGTATCCTTTGAGGTTATTTATGTTTATATGTGCAAATACATTTATTTCAATTTTTATACCAACAATACAGAAGTTAGTGTAGAAAGAAGTTAGTTTTATTGGATATTTACATATGCTAGGCATCGAGTTAATCATTTAAAATTATTTCATTGAATTTTTACAATCATCTTTTGAAATACATGTTATTTGAAGCTCAAACAATTAGTGATTCATTCAACATCCTTCAGCTACTAAGTGGCAGAGCCTATATTAAGATTATAGTCTACTTGATTCTGAAGTTTGTGGGGGTTTTTTTTGTTTTTTGTTTTTTATTTTTTTTTTGGTACCGAGGATTGAACTCAGGGGCACTCAACCGCTGAGCCACATCCCCAGCCCTGTTTTGTATTTTATTTAGAGACAGAGTCCCACTGAGTTAATTAGTACCTCCCTTTTACTGAGGCTGGCTTTGAACTGGTCAACTCCCTAAGCCGATAGGATTACAGGCATATGCCACTGTGCCCAGCTTGAAGAATGTGTTTTCTAACCATAGTACTTCTCTGGGGTCTTCCCTGTGGAATATAGGGACTCTTGTTACTTCTTGTTGCCCCTAGTGAAGATGTACATGCTAGGGCCATGTAACACTGATCTACTTTTTAGAATATGATAGATAATTGATTATATTTTTTTAACTGCAACCAATACTGCATTGTAAAATTTTTAAAAATCCAAATATAGTTAAAAGATTACATTTTGATAAAAATGTCTTTGTCTTGGATAAATAATTATGAAATTATAATGAAATTTACTTTAGTTGTGAGCTTGATTTTTCATATAATTTGCAGAAAGCATAGAATCAGAAGCAATGCACCAGGGGAAAACAAGGCCTGCTCATGAAATATCTTCCAGTAGGATCTGGAAATGGAAAAGAAGAATGAATCAGAAACTGACTAGAATTCAAGGCTTTAGAGTAGCCTAACCAGTATGGCTTTTCCATGTCCTCCTTTTTTACAGAAACTTATTCTTCAATTTCCTTTTGCCTAGGCAGTATAATATATTATAATATCATAATTTCTCATGTTTGTAATGAGTTATAGATGGTTTACTTCGTGCCTAAAAGATTATACCAAATTTAGGTAGAGAATATGTAATGAAAATAGGAATTATAGACCTGCTGAAGATTTACACTTCTGGTTAATAGCTTGCCTTATCACCTTTCTAGGCTTTAGCTTCTTCATCCAAATTAAGAATTTTGGGTTAAGATGATTTC